GGCCCCCCGGCCCGGGCGCCACTGCCACGGGGGACCGCCGCCGGCATGGTGTTCAAGCCTGTGTCTCTCAGGTGAGGATAAATAAAATGCCAGGAAAATGCGATTTGAGCATAAGAGGTCAAATGTGCTCCGAATTTTTATTAAAAAGGAAATTAATGACACACGGGTGAATTGTTGCTGGGTAGGGGGAGGTGGGAGGCAGAAGTGTGAAAAAGGATAAAGGCGCAAGGCAGCAGCAAGGGAGAAGGAGTAAGCAAAGAGCGAAGATGGAAAGGAGAACGCTGCAAGGACAACCTTCAGCCAGGATGAACTGAGCAGTACTTTAGTGCTCAGCCTGCTTTCATCCCCGTACCAGTTTTGCCAGTAGCCATTCCCTTGGCACGTCCCAGCAAAACACCACAAACTGCACTAGCACGTGTCGCACGTGCAAAAAAGGCAGTGACAAAAGGCTGTGGTGGTATCACAGAGCCCCACACCTTAGAATCATAGAAGAGTTTTGGCTGGAACAGACCTTGGAGACCAAGTCCAGCCTTTGTCCCAGCCCTGTCAGCACCACTGCCCCACGTCCTTCGCGCAACACCCACCCGTGTCCTAAACACCCCCAGGGATGGTGACTCAACCCCCTCCCTGGGCAGCCTGTGCCAATGGCTGACAACCCTCTGAGTACAGAAATTCTTCCTAATGTCCAACCTGAACCTCCCCTGGTGCAACTTCAGGCCATTTCCCCTCGTCCTGTCACTCGCCACTGGGGAGAACAGACCAACATCCCCTCGCTACAGCCTCCTGCCAGGGAGTTGCAGAGAGCAAGAAGGTCTCCCCTCAGTCTCACGGGGGAACACTGCTCTTTCCACTCGGGTAATCGATAAGATCTGGCTTCTTCAATTCAGCAGTTTTTCGGGGGGGCTTTTTGCTTGTTTGTTTTCTTCTTTATATAGGAGATGGACAGAGAAATCATCTCACAAAAAAACCCTCAACAAAATAAAATGCAATCTCCCCTCGAAAAGCAGTGAGGTTTTGCAAGAACACATCAGTTTTATCAACATTTCCATCACGACTGGAACGGAACAGCTGTTCCTAAAACAGCTCTTGAGAGTCCAGACTGGAGCTCAAAGCCCTGCTCTGCCACCTCTGCTCCTGGCACCGGAATCTCCACCTTGATGAGTACCTACACTGCAAGGTGCCGTGTTCCCCTCCCACGGGAGATCCTCCCCCTCTGCCAGAAAAGTACAGAGAATGGTATTTTAAATGACTTTTCCTTTAAGTCGGTCATTACTTTCATTTACAAAACTAATAAATACCTGGGGAGGGTTTCACGCTCTCTTTGGCTGGCACTGGAGCATGCGACAGCCAGCCTGGGTGTGCCAGGTAAGTTAAGCAACACAGCAATTCTGGATTTCACACAATGTTAGGGGTTGGAAGGGATCTATAACGTCTCTGCCTCAACTGGCCAGCCTTGGCTAGTCCCCATCTCTGGAGGTTTTTAAAAGAAATTCTCCCTAACATCTTAATGCTAAGCAGTAACACTGACAAAATCTTGACTCTTCACTGGGATGCAAACCCCATTTCCCACCCAGCGCTGATCACTGCTATTTACACTACGACTTTAAGAAGGAGGGAACAGTTTTGAACGTTGTATTTTACAGTATTTTTTTCCTCTCTCTCTCCTGCCACACGTCCTCAAACATATTTAATGCAGGAGCAGCACCTAGTAACAACAACATAACGCTGAGTTTGGGGCAGGAGGAGAGAGTGCTGAGCCCTGCACCATCACCAACTCCAAACCCCGCCGGGCACCCGGGCACCCTCTCCTGCCCAGACCCTGGGGAAGGCTGCAGAAACCTCTTCCAACCCCTCTTTCAACACACACTCCCCTCTGAAAACCTCCGGAGAGATGCTCAGGGGGTTTGTGTCACCTCTCAAGCATCAGGATCACACTTTGAAGACTTCATGCCGGAGAAGCGAATTCACTCTTTTAAAAAAAAGTAACAAGAAAAGAAAAAAAAGAAAGGAAGGAAAGAAATAAAACCAGGGGAAAAGATGTGGTCTGCCTCAGTGGTTCAAGTTTCGGCTTTATCACACTCAGACACTATCTCACTAAGCTGTTCTGCTGCACCACAATAAATGACACGTCTCGTAGGGCACGTCCTTGCTCCTACTTCATCTTTTTAATTCACTATCAAGTTTTGGCTTATGTTGATTAAAAAAAAAAAAAGAGAAAGAAAAAAATAGCGACACATTCTAGTGGATCCCTGCTCTCAAATCACGAATTTCTACAAGTGAAAATCCAAATTATTCTTTGGAAATCTGCCTCAGATCTTCCCAGTGTTCAGTTGCATTTAGAGTCAGAATCAAAGCAGAAACAAAGCTTTCCTCCTGACAGCAGAACAGTCACTCCACGACTGAATCCAGCTTGGAGCCTGGTATTCCCAGCCCAATCCCAGCCCAGGCAGCAGCGGGGAGCCCAGCCTGAAGCAGGCAATGACTTGTCGCAGCACCCGCTGCCAACGCCACTGCAGGGCGGCGGTGACGCCGCTGCGAACAGATCAAAATCAGCGCTGGGCAGCCACAATGCACTCAACAGTACTTCGAAAAATTCATCCAGACTGTTTCTTATAAATTAATAATTTTTCTTTTGCCACGAGGAGGGCAGGACATCACCTTCAAGCATTTTCCCTTTGCTCTCTGATTCCCTGTGTCTGCCTCTGTTTTCTCGGACCGCAGGGTGTGTGGAAACTTCTCCGGTCCGATACAGACTTTAAAAGGGAAGAAACATGGAAAAAGCAGGGACAGAAGACACACCTGTTGAACACGCAGGTGAGAAGTGAGAAGCCTAACATGCATTTAGAAAAGACACACCAGGCACATTTGGAAAATGTGCACACCAGCAAAAAAAAAAAAAAAATAAGAGACCTGATTTCTTTTATTTATTTTTTTTGGAGTAATATACATCGGTCTTGATGGTCATAAAGGTCTTTTCCAACCTTAACGGTTCTTTGACTGAACTCAGAGCCTGATGACTTCTCTCCACGTTCCTTCCTGGATTAGTTTTCAACAGTTTGCCACAAATATTATTTTCTGAAGCAGCATACTTGCTTTTTGTTCTCACGATTATGAAAAGCAAAACCATTTGCAAAAGAAAACAACTTTGTACAATCTCGGCGTCGGGCTCCTGGGCTGACAGCATTTTGCAAAGCTGACTTCAGCTTTTTCCTTTTTTTTTCATTAGGAAAATTCACTTGTTTCAGGAAAGGTCTCACTACAAAAAACCAAACCAAAACAAGAAGACGGC